CCCCGCGGGCTCAGGCCATCCACTCACCTCAGCCTCCCAAAGGCGCAGGATGACAGGCTGAGCCACCGAGCCCAGCTTCAAAGGAGAATTTTTTAACTTTTGCTTTCTTATTTATTTTCAATAACAATAATAAACGTATTAGGCGTTCACATAAATATCTTAAAACTTATGAAAAATAACTATACTTTCTAAAAGCTATTCTTTCTGAGAAAAGTAGCCTTGTTCTACGCATTTGCAACTTTCTTTGATGTCTGGCTTGAAAAAGGATGACGGGATTCTCATATCTAATTCCACAGTCTCTTATGATATGATGTGTCATGTAGTCTTTGGAAAAAACTCACCACACGCTAGTGGGAAAATGAGAATAAAAAGGGTAAATAAGGTTTTAATGTTATGAAAATCAATCTCTTTGAAGAGTTTCCCAGGGATCCCTTTGCTAAGAAATAAATGGAGATCTTTATCACTTTTCCCTGGTATCAGGCTTAAGTGCGGTTCCTCTGTACATATACACTCTTCAAGGATTATGTCCCTACCCAAAACAAAACAAAGGTGTTACTATTTAAAAAAAAAAAAAAAAAAGTGGGCGGGGCATAGTGGCTCAAGCCTGTAATTCCAGCACTTTGGAAGGCCAAGGTGAGGAGATTGCCTGAGCCAATAGGTTCGAGAACAGTCTGCGTCACTTGGTGAGACCTCATCTCTACAATCAATCAAATATTAGCCGAGCATGGTAGCGTGCACTTGTAATTCTGGCTACTTGGAAGGCGGAGGAGGAAGGATCGCCTGAGCCCAGTAGATCGACCCTGGGGTAGCCGTGAGTGTGCCACTGCACTCCAGCCTGGGCGGCAGAGTTGAGACTCCAACTTAAAAAAAAAAAAAAAAAAAAAGTTATTTGCATACAGAAATGTTGCTCTATACGTTGTTGAAAGTTATTTCTAAGAATAGATGCATTTGTGTCCTACCTTGTTTCTACTAGCTCGAGGACTGGCATGCATGCCAAGTTCAATCTGTGTAGTTGCCCCAAAACATAACGAAGTTAAGACAGGCCACCACCTTCTCCCACAGTGCCTTGCTCTTATGAGACAGGGCTAGTGTTCCTGTGGACCTGAAATTTACACTTCCAAGGATGGCCTCTACGCCAATGTGTTTCCTGATACATGGAGAATAACCCGCTTGTCTCTGAAGACAGAACTGATTCCAGGGGTTGTAAATTTTGCAATTGAAAACAAGAAACCATAACATTGACTGCAGGTGATAGGGTCCATGGAACACACACTGCTCTCTCTCCCACCAATAAAATCTGCTAGGCAAGGAATTGGGAGGAAAGAAGTTTATTTCTGAATTCAAAATTAAGGGGGAAAGCCTGTATAGATACCAAGGCCAGCTCAGCCCCTTGGTTTTCACATTCTGCATAAGCATAAGCATTGAGGTTTGCTATTGATTAACACCAAACTATTTATTTTGGTTTGCTCGCATAAGCATTGAGGTTTGCTATTGATTAACACCAAGCTATGTATTTTACACAGATTTCTGCAAAATCCCGCGGCAGTTATGTTTCACTAATTCCAACATTCATTGTCTACATATTTTTGCTACCTATTACCAGGAACCTGTATTTCAGTTTATCAGTACCTCTTAGTAAAGTGCTAGCAGAGCTTCCCACCAAGTGGAAAATATGCCAATAATCAACAGGTACAACAAAACAAAAGTGCACTGGTTACAGTTGCATGATTAATATGATTATATTTCTAACTTCAGCTATTGATCACAAGGAAGAATGACAACCTGTTTCATTAACTATGTGACTAAAACCATAGGGATCTGTGACTCATTCTGTTCCGGGGTGGATCAGCACAGTCTTATGATTCTAAGGAATGTGGCTGCATGTAAGGCAGTACCCCTACGTAATCCAACATTTTTAGTAATAGAAGGCTGCTTTAAGAGAGTCTCTTCATCACAGGTTCTCAACGACCTTGAAAAATCAGCAAAACTAGATAGCACTGTTTGCTAATGAGAATCCAAACGGAATTTACTTACAGAGATTCCAGGTGGACAAATCAGATTTGCTCGGTTATGGCCATGCGAAATGTTGCTTTATGCTGAAACCTCCTGAATTTGATTGCTTCATTTTTTCTCTCTGCTTTTCACTTAAACATTTTTTCTTTTAAAGTGTGTGTTGTGCAATAGTAAGAGCGCAACAGCTCAAAACAAGTTGGAAGTCACGTTAGCAAGACCCAGCATCAGGAACAATAATTGCTAAGCCTCCTCTCTCCCCAGACTCAGTATCCTAAACTTGGTGCTTACCATTCTGGGGTGTGTGTGTGTGTGTGCGTGCGCGCGCACGTGTGTGTGTGTGTGTGTCCCTTAAGCAGTATAAAGTAGTCTTCGTATAAAATGTACTATATTGTATATTTATGTGACTTGCTTTTTTCACAAAAGCATTGTATTTTGTGAGATTTAAGCATTTTGGAGGAAGTGTTGTTCTTAGTTCTTTCAAGCTCACTGCTGTATAGTATCCCACTGTATGAATATGCTCCAATTTATGTTAGGTTGTTCACATTTATATTTTGCTCTTATGAACAGGGCTGCTGTGAAGATTCCTATAATGTCCTTTTGTGTGAGTACTGGAGAGGTTGTTTAGTGAGTAAAATTGCAGAATCATTGGCAGGTGCATGTATAATTGTATTAGAAAATCCCCATTTTTTTTTTTTTTTCCGCGACAGTAACCTTTAGAGGATAAGGGTTTTGTTGTTTCATATTCTTGTCAATATTTGGTAATGTCAGACTATTAAATGTTGCCAGCTTGCCAGTCCAATGGTATAAGAGCTATCTTGTTATTTTATTTTGCATTTCCTTAATCACTTTATGTAAGATGGAATGTCTTTGCCTACGTCCAGTGAATATTCATGTGTCTTCCATGTGAAGTTTCTTTTCTTGTGTTTCTCCCTGTTGCCTACTTGGTTGTTTGACTTCCTCTCATTGGTTTCTAGAGTACTAATGAAATTCTACCTCTGACATCTCATGATGACAAAGAAAGGCACAGATGTATCTCACGGTCTTCTCCTTGACACAGTGTTCAAATCCCAGCAACCTCACTTATCTGAGATAGGGAAGCCGTAGCCATTTTTCAGGGGTGATGGTTGTAAAACCTCCTAGAAGAGTGCATGACGTGTGATAAATGCCATATCACCCTCAGCCCCTCCTTGTCTCATTCTTTCCCATATGCAGATAACTTTGTAATGACAATATTCTTAGTGGTTTATATCATTAGTCACTAGCCATGGGAAATTGACTCAGCTGGTTCATGCTTTTTATGAACTAAATCAACTTCCTCTAGAGATTCAGCACCTCATTTTGGGAGGAGAAGGAAAAGCAACATATCTCTGTATATAATGGAGGTGTTAAAGAATTCCAATTGGTTGAATTTTATCTTCGATCTATTTGACCCTCAGAACTAGATGTGATATGCTATGAA